CGGACATCAATACTTTTATAAAATTATGTCAAGGTACGTCTCTTGTGAATATCAATTGATTGTTAGGTTTTCTCTTCTGAAATTACATTGTGACGCATTCACATACATTATTAATGCAAATAAGTTTTCCAGGGCGAGACGACGAGGCAACCACAAGCACTTCCACTGGTTCAAGAGGTCCACGAGGGAAAAATGCACAATATTACCATTATTACAGAGCACGGAAGTCAGCGGAGCAGGAAAAAGAGTCGTTGAATAGAACTAGTGATCCTTCTACGACTGCTGATTCTTCTACAATTAACGTCGCAGGTTGCGAAGTTTAACTTCTTCCGCGCGGAGGGACTCCACGCACTATTTTTTTCTTGTGATGTATATCAGTTGAGTTGTCTCCGAAAAGTAATGAAAATTTTTGTTTTGCGAACAGCGGTTCATTTTGAACCCAAAACAAATGCCACATTTCAACATACAATCAGTGCAGAAATACCCACATTAAGTTTCTTACGCGTATCCCAGTGTACTAAGATTAAATCGACAAGGTATAAGATTTAATTTTGTTTTTGTATGCATTAATCAATGTAAAGCAATTGCTCCTATAATTAATCTCTATTGAATAAAATCAAATAATCCATCATTCAAAAATGTCTCTTAATTAGTGTAATATAATTCATTTTAAATAAATTTTTTTATGTTGTAAATTAAGATTAAGTTAAGTAAATTTTATTCATTTCTCAAAAATAATAAAAAAATAATATATTAAAAAATAATTTCTTTCCATGGAGTTTATCACTAGTTTCTTGGAGGGTATTCTTTAGATAAACAAATTTTAAAAATAAGTTTTTCTATTTGCTTAAAGAAATTCTCTCGATATGAAATTAAGATAAAGGAGTCAAGAAACTTTAAACTTTTCCCCATACCTTATATCTTAAATTGTGATTACCCCTATATTTTGGGACTCAGAAATCAAAAACCATCGACAAAAATGTGTGTTTATTCAGAGAAAGTACATTTCTGTAGTAGTACATTTTCGAAACTTTAAATAGCATCTGCACTCATATTTGAAGTCACTTCCTCCCACCATTAAGACTGAGTTCTTATATGTGACGATCCGATCATGAGATCGAAAATTCAGGGTGGTTCGTTTTTTCATTTTTTTTCTTGCACTTTGAATGAATTTAAAAAATTTTATCTTCGTTAAATATATCGTCATTATTTTAAAATCTTCATTAGATCTTAAATAACGATTTTAAATAATCTTAATTGAATATATCTTCACATTTTATCTTCTAAAACATAAGACCTGGTTTTCTAATTAATATAAAGAACGGTTTAAAATTGCTCCTACTTTTACTTAAACTGCAGTATTTTACTTATATCGTTTATTTTTGTTTTGAGTATAAAATTGTCGTCTTTGAATATTTTAAATAAGTCCTTTGCAAGTCACAACACCGAAGTTATCTCCGGATCATTGTTTTTAATGCGGCAGAAATACGTTTTGTATTCCTTGCTGCGAATATTCACCGGTTGTTTAGTCGGATGCCAGGATCAAATTCATGACCCGTCCAACAGTGTGAGTGAAACCTTAACCGACTGCGCAGCCGCAGCACATTCAGTCATATGGCCACCCAGTTCATCGGACCTTTAAGCAACTACTAACAGAGTGAAAAATAAAATGAATGGAACGACATTGATTACAAATTATATGTTTGTCTTTTAACACGAAGGTAACGCAAAAACATTTTTCTTCACTTTTGTATATAATTAATTTTAATATGTGATGACCACACGAGAGAAAGAACTGTTACGATCTCATTCGGAGGGCAAAAACACGATCTTGCTCGAGGACAGAAACCTAAAACATCTTCACTGTGTAATAATTCTCGGGGTGAATTTACTGAATTGATTTATAAAAACTTAGTAATCCTCAAATTGCAAGAGATGGCAAACTGAATCGTCATTTCTGTGAAGAATTGGCATGAATCGCTTCCCCCCCCCCATTGGTCTTTGTGTGTTTCAAATATACAAATATTGAAGAATCAATTCATTTCATTACAAACATTTTTAACATTTTTGTAAGCATGTAAACATTTTTATTAATTTTTATCCTTTACAGTGAAAACAAATTATAAAATACATTTTGTTTCAGTTGACGCTGTTGGATTAAAAAGTGTTGTTTCATTTTGTTAATGCTTGAACAGAGTGTTCTAAAAATAAATCGGGAAACTTTTAAATGCTTGTTCATCAATATTTATACGACATAATTTTGTTTCTTATTTATTTTTTACTCGCGTCATCCAAGGTCAGTTGTGTGAGTCTGGATTAATATTGACGCACTTACCTATATCAATAGTATACAATAAAATGTTTATTATTTAACTGAAATTTATTTTTAGGCTCTTTATATCGCTCAATGCAGAATATAGAACCTCGTGATCCAGAAAAAAAAAATGTAGACTATGAATCTGAACGTAAAAATGACCTTAAAAAAAGGAAAAGTTCTGCATAAAAAATGTTGAGAATTGAAAGTTTGCCTCCTCGAAAACTATTTAAAAGGAATTTTTTATTTGTGTTTTTTTGTCGAGTAAGAAAGACAAAACGCAAATAAAAACAAAATTAATAAACGGATCTCCATGAATAACTTTTAATCTAATGATCGGATCTTGGTGTTCTAAAATTCACTCTAAATGATTTCAGGGGTGAATGATAAAGGGTGATGAGCTAATTCATTAGTGCAGACGATATTTTAAATTTCCCATTTTTTCGACGAATTTTGGTTTTCTGGCCCCCCAAACTATAGAGGGTAGCCGTAATCTGCGAAATGTGATGTTCAAGCGGCCCAAAATTTGGACCCCTTATGTAAGTTTAACTTTTTAAGCGAATTGAAAAAGTTTTGTCTACAATAAAAAAGGTTAATCCAAAGATAATTAAACGCAAAATATAACTTTTAGTAAATATAAATATTTACTGAAAGTTACATTTTTTGCATTATTTTCTATTATTTTATTTAATAATTCTCGAAAAACTTTTGAATGGTAAGGTATAAGAAATTTTGCATTATTTAAAAAAAGTGCAATTTTAAATTGCAAAATACAAGCGAAATCAGCTGCATAGTTTCTGAGAAATCGAATTGTGAAAAAGGCGTAAAAATATCAACGTATTTTTAAGAATTTTATTTTATTAAAATAGTTTGAGATAAAATAACGGCATTTTAGAATGAAAGTTGTGAAACAAATGGAACTTGATTACTGTTGGTATTGACCGCGCATTAAAACAGAAATATTATTGAAATGAAAAAAAAAGAATGAAATATTAAGTTAACGGAAAATGAAGCAAGAGCATGATCACATTGTATTTGGAAAAGAAAACTTTGATGAAGGAGAAACCCATTTTTAACTTTATATTTATTCACTCATTTATACAGAAAGTGATAATTCAAATAACTTAAATACTTTTCCAGAAAGACATTATATTTTATTTCATTAATGTG